GCTCATCCTTTCCAATAATCCGCTGCGCTGGATAGCCAATGATATACCAGATCGTCCACAGCGTGTCGAAATCGTAGAGGATGATTATTCCTGATCATTTTATTCACGATTTTATCTCTACTTGCTTGGCTGCCGTTTGCAACTGCACCCCATGAATGTAGTTTGCCTAATTAAAATTAATTATTTAATTAATATTTCGTTACACCATATACGGCATAAGACCTCATGCGATGTTCTGTCTGTCGACGACTGGTCATTATAACGTTGTAGCTCGTTCTCTGAAACATGTTATGCACATGAACCTTAACTTCTTAGTTCAAAAATGGTAAGCTGTCCGTTTGTTGAAGTCTGAAATCAGTGTAAGGAAACATCGTATAAGCCTAATCGAACCCGATTAACACGCTGACTAAAATTCAATGGAATTTTCTGAATTCTTGACATGTTCGATAGTTGTTCGGTAGGCAGCGGGCTTTGTCCTTCTTTGTAGTGGAGGCTAAGGGTGTCAGACGGCAATTCCTCGTCAGAAGGAACGTTTCAAATGATAGGATGAACATTTTTTCGACCATTAAATGTCTGTCGTCACTAAGAGTTCGTTTCGATCCAACCGCGAAATTAGATATCCATATGCCTTGCTTCACCTCAAGGTGAAGATGGCGTCTTGGATGGATTGGATACACCTGGAATTAATTGAGCATAACGGAAAAGGAATGCAAGATATGCTCTATGCTTCATTTCACATAATTTGGACCTCAGAAGGTTTTACTGTGGAATGGAAGTATTGAACATTTGTACTGTATAACGGTCCAATTATCCTGGCATCAGCTCTAAAATACTTTTCTCATGGATTATGTTGGAAACGCTGAACGAAGCAGGTGAAGGGAACCTATTCAAATCAAGTTGGCTTTAGATGGAGCCTCTTCCCCCAGCCATATTTTTGCATAAGCTGACTGAAAATGCAGAAGACTCCAGTTGTCTTGGTTTGCCAGTTTCCACGACTTTAATTCAGAATTTAATTCACTGCATCATCCGGTAATTCAAAAATTTGGAATGTTATGGGATGCATGAGAACATCATTTCCATTTTAGAAAAGATGTTTGCAGGAACCATGTCTGCGCTAGAAATCATAGAAGCTTTCTGAGAGTTTCTTTATTAATTGCCGAGTTCGCTTTATTCGTCATTGCTCTTTATCTTCTTCTCTGAAACCGGGTTAACCTTGGCAAAGACGAAGATGACATTCTATAGAGAAGGCGCAGTTCAAGATATGCTCTGCCCTGGAATATGCAGATATGGCATTTCCTGGTGAGTAGTACGGGTAATGCGTCATGTCATCTGATGGTTTCTGTGAAAACTGGCTGTGAAAACGTAGCTGCGAATACTGGCCTCTTCCTTAAGGTATTAATCGAAAATTGTGGAGCCCATCCAGCACAGCAGCGGGAGAAGCATTTTAGGAGGTTGATCAGATTAGATATCTCGGATCCATTATCCCCAGTGATGGTGCCATTTAGTCCGACTTAAATATTAACACCCATACCTCGACTGCTTTTGTACACTTGTTCAATATTTGGACTCTTCCTCCGAAAATCCGCCAGTACGTTTAATCAGTCAGATCAGTGTTGTCGTATTGTTGTTGTGTTGCACGGCATGGAACAACTTCTAGTGAAGGAGAGAGAACAACGGCTGAACTGCAGCAGTAGCTTCGACGCAGGATGAAGGATAAATGAAAGGAACATGCAAAGAATGACTTTGTTCTTTTCCAAACACAAGTGGCCTTGGTGAATGTGGAGATTAGGAAAAGAGGTTTGACCGGTCAGACAAAGTGACTGAGCATAAATCGTCAGTTCATCATGTGGGCGAAAAGCAGACCTCAAATAGGAGCTAGCATGCAACAGGGTAGATTGAGGGAGACGCAGATCTGCCATCAGAGAAAAGTATTTCATTTTATGATGCAGCTGGGGAGGGGGTTGAGTGTTTGACTCTAATCGCCTCAACGTAGTACCTTCTGGATTCATATTATGACATAAACATCCAATCATGATGCCAAAGATTAGAATTCAGCAAATACCTAGGGTAGATGGCCGTACACCAGCTGCTCACTGCATTTCCAGACGCGCAAACATCGTCACCTGCCACATATCTGTACAGACTCAAAAGCTCGTTATAGGGCCCCTGCAGAACTTGCTTCGACTACGAAGGAAGCTACATTGCCCCTTGAATTGTCAGCCCCTGAAAGGTGAAGGCTGGCAAGTTGCCATTACCAGAACCTTGAACAATCTAAACGTACTGATGGCATGCCTGCAAGAAAGCGACAAAACAAAGATGAAATCATAAAAATGTGTTCTCCTGATGGACAGACATCATATGTATTATTTGAATTGAAGGTCGAAGAAAGTAT